ACTAAAATATAAATACATTAAGCATACTGAAGGAAATGTTCATTCTGTTGTTTAGCCTTGGACATGCCCCAGTTAGGTAAATTTAATCTTCTCGAGGGTTGTTGCGTTACAGCTGAATGAGATAGGCTGTTATCTTATTACTGATCTTTCTGTCATTCAGGGTTCGTGTTCTGGCATTCATGGTGTGAAGTGTACTTGCCCAAGAGCGGTCCTAGAAGTGTTTTCCAAGGGAGATGAAGGTGCGTAGGGGATCTGTTAGCACCTCCCAAGTTTTGACCCTTTATCTTGGTAATGTTCACGCTCCTTGTCAGTCACACCATTAGTGGTTCAACCTCCTGTTGGGTAGAAATGTACAAAATATTGGCTTTGCCTACGTTTGTTAGGAAATGTCTGAAACTCAGCCCAGTGGCTTCTATTTTCTTCATGAGTATTTCTGCCTCAGTTCCTTCCAAAATCCCTGGCCATGCCTCTGCTGCTGTTGAGGTCAGGGACAAAGCAGGAGGGTATGCAGGGGGAGGGGCACTGACTCCAGAGTGGGCAGGGGCCAGCATTAAGCAACAGACCCAAAGACGATGGATTGCATTAAAGAGGAGTCTCTTAATTGTTTTCCGCTGGTGCTGGGTCAGACCCTTCAAGCATGGTCTTACAGCATTAATGCTTGTGACTAATCCCACTGAAACCCAGGGAGCTGCTCCCATGTGTAAGCACTACCAAATTCAATGTGCAGCCTTAATAAGCACTCTGAAACAGTTTAGCTCTTCTCTTGGTTGTACAGTGAAGGGACTGGATGAGGCAGGAAAAGGGAAGCAGAAGGAATTACACGAACAGAGAGATTCTGAGCTGGTTGTGAGGAACAGTGATGCTATGTCTGGAATGCAAGTACTTAAAAAAATAAGACATCAGCTGTGTGTTTTACAGATAAGAAAATGTTATTTTATTGAACGGAAAGATATATATGTTTCACCTATCACATCTGAACTAATCAGTGTAGGCTTTTAGAAGAAGTCTGTAATTACTCTGAGCACATCATTAGTTAGATATAAAATGAATGATATTGCTCCGTTTTATTACCTCTAGTGATATAGCCATTTGTATCATAAATTAATTGACCTCATCTTAAATGATCAATTCTGCAAGACAGACTTGATTCATTAATTCTTAAGTGACATTTTTTTCTCCTCCAGTAATTTCCTCTTCATTGTGGGGACTGTTTTTCTGCCTTTTAGTATGGTATTATGAGGCGTCATATTACCTGCATATGACATGCACTTTTTATTCTTTTATCTTAACTAAGCAGCATAGACTGATTACTTATGTAGAAAGAAAGAAAGAGAGAGAGAAAGAAAGAGAAAGAAAGAAAGAAAGAAAGAAAGAGAGAGAGAGAGAGAGAAAGAAAGAAAGAAAGAAAGAAAGAAAGAAAGAAAGAAAGAAAGAAAGAAAGAAAGAGAAAGAAGAAAGAAAGAAAGAAAGAAAGAAAGAAAGAAAGAAAGAAAGAAAGAAAGAAAGAAAGAAAGAAAGAAAGAAAGAAAGAAAGAAAGAAAGAAAGAAAGAAAGAAAGAAAGAAAGAAAGAAAGAAAGAAAGAAAGAAAGAAAAAGAAAGAAAGAAAGAAAGAAAGAAAGAGAAAAATTGAAAGGCATGCACATAGTAGGTAGACATTACTCACCAATATTAGCATCAACACTTTGAGATGTTGCATGAAATCAATGAGATAGTTATTGGATATTTGGTCTCTCCAGGATATTCAGAGGAACAGATTTGCTGCCTTTATTTCTGTGGCTTTAATTAATTTTATCTAGTGATAAAATATACAGAAGGTTCTGTGATCAATATATGAGTGAGGCAGGCGGACTTCAGAGTTTTTTATTCCTCGGTGAATTATTGAAAACATGAGAAATCAGTGGAGAATTTCTAAGCAGGATTTCTAAATATTTTACCAAGGAAGAGAAAATATTTGTCTAGCCAGGAGAGATACAGGAGCCCACTGGAGACAAACAAATCAATACAGCAATAATACAGTGAAGTGTTTCAGTGAATTTTTCAAATGATAGCTAATGAAATTAAATTATTAGAAAATATGCCACAATTTTTGGAGGGCTATATTTCTGTTTCAGTCCGTTTAATTAAAGACATTGAGGGAGCTCTTCCTAGAAGGATAAGGAGGCTGGGTTTACTCTGTTATATTTCTCAGTTGCTTCTTTGGCAGTGGGCTTACAAGGTGCTTCCTTGGCCCAAAGAAAAGGCAAGTCTTCATTGCAGCTGCATCTGAAGTCCTGCTCCATCCCTCACTGCAGGCACCCCTGAGGCCAGTTTCCTCCTTGTCTTTCCCCTGCAAACAGACAGTGATGGGTCAGCATGGGCTTCAAACTGCACCAGCCTGCCTCAGGAGCTGTCTGGGAGCTCCTGGTACCTCTTTGTGCAACTCCTAGGGTACGTGTGGAGAGCCCCTTCCTCTTTGCCAGGCCCTGGGGCAAGAGCATACCCTGCAAGCCGCAAGAGGAGGGTGATGGAGTGCATTCTGATTCCAAACCTTATTAACACGCGATGTAGACTCACAAATTCCCCTTCTGTCTACTTGGAAAACAGAGGCAAGCCAGAAAATTTCAGGAGGTCGATTAGAAGATGTTTCCATCATGTGTGCTGACTTGCCAGGTGGGTGGCAAAACGCATACCCATGCCAAGTAGCCAGGACGGTTCAGTGCTCACTGCTGTGTGTTTGCACTGTTTGCAGTGAGTGGTTGCTCAGCTTTGGTGCTGTCTGTGATGGTCACTGAATCTTCCTGTGGAGAGCAGAGAGAGAGATGATGCCTGGTAAAATCCAGAAGCTGTTGGAAGTGGAGATGCCCCTCTTTGCCCTGCTTGATGCACTCCTACTTTCCCATCTGCCCCACACCAGGGGGGATGCATGCACTGTGGCAGCATAGGCATTTGTCTCCACCCTTCAGTGCATTTGACAGCCTTTTTGTCCACATATTTGAGGGTGCAACATCATCACTGTGCCCTCAGTGCAGGGCTGGACTTGTTTGTAATCCACTGGGAAATTTTCTTCCTTGCATGGGACATCATGGTGGAAATACACCCTTCCTAATGCCACACGCACTGAGCAGCACCAGTAGCCCCTGTGCTTTATCTCACAGGGCACAGTGTTTGTGTGCCCAAGCTAAAAATCTGTGCCTGCCCTACATTCATAAATTTCGGGGATGACTTAATAGTTGCTACTTCTTGATTGCTACTAAATTGATTATTTAGTTTGATTTAAAGGTTGGGATAAAAAAGAGAGAGAGCGTTTATGTGAGTGTGTGAAGAGCCGGGGGGAAGGCAGGAGGGAATCAAGCAGCAACCTCACTGGAGAACCAAAAGGCTGAGGAGTTAAATGGGCTAATATCCATAGCATATAGTGTGTATGTGTATATATATATATATTAAAGATATATTACTGAAAACTCAAAAGTGTCACCACTGTTTATATTAAAGGAAAGCTGAGAGTTAAATGAGATGAGTAATCAGATGCCCAACATATGTTGTTTTGAATTGTTTATATGGCCAGTAGTTATTAAAATTAATTATCCTTTTAATGCAGTCTTTTCACAAAATCTTTGGGGTTTTTTGGTGGTTTTTTTTTTTTTATTTGTACAAAAGATATAGTCATTTCAATACATGCTAATATGAGCTATTTGTAAAACGCAGAACAAATAATACCAGGATGTATTCTGACGTGGTCATAGGCTCAACATGCTGCTAAAAAGCACCAAAAGTCTCTGTCAGTGGAGTATTTTGAGAACTAATGTAAATGACAAAAATGGGGGGTTTCTGTGTGTGTAAAATTCTGTCAAAAAAGTGAGGTACTGCAAAATCTGACATCTGTTTATCTGTTTATAGCTATGGCAAGATTACTCATATTAATTCTTGTTTAAAATGCCATATGAAGGAAAGGCATTTGTGCAAACAAGAGTCATATTTGAATTGTAGATCATGTCTTCACCATCTGTGAGAGCTGTTGGTGTTGCAAAATTAATGTGTTAATGAAATCACAATAATTTCTCTGAAGTAATGGATTCTGAAGCCTAGATGACTATTTTTTGAACTTTGGTGTCTAGTGGCTTACAACTGGGAAAACCTTTCACAGCTTAATTAGTTCTGCAGCCTTATTTAAAAAAAAATTGGCTATGCCTCCACCACACCAATAGTAACACAGAAGAGGATTAAATGAAAAGCAGAGAAACAAAACAAAAATGAGCCTGCAGTGCAAACTTTTTGCTGTAGTATTTGAAAAGTTGCTAAACAGGTCCTTGCTTGCCAAGAAGTTTTACTCAAAGTGACTTGTACACAAGAGTGGGCAAACAGCTCAGAAAATAATTCCAGCTTGCTGAAACATCACAAATTGGGACTATTTGAACCTTACACAAATATTCTGATTTTTTCCAACTTTCCCCTTGGAACAAAGGGCAAAGAACGAATGATGCTTTTCGCTTCGTGATGCCATTTCAAAATATCACACTCTTTCCAAGTTATTATTTGATACCCTGAATAGAATGCTATATGTTACTGTGTCCTGCATTTTAGCAGAACTGTTTTGCATTAATTTCCAGCAATTTTCTGAGTCCTTTTCCAGTTATCACACTCCTTGTATAATATGGCATCTCAGATGGCACAGGCGTGCATAGTTTACCACTGAGGAGTAATCACAGCCATACTCATACGGATTTTGCATACTTACATATGCATGTTATAACAGTTTATACCAACTGAGGATTCTTCTCTGTGAGATATATAATGCATTGTATAAGGTAGAACTGAGATCAGGGGAGCCAGAAAAGGGAGTGGCATTCAGTTCACCAATATGTTGGAGAAAAAAAAAAAAAGAAGTGCAGTTTTCACAAATGTAACTTTTTTTCCTGTTAGAAAAAAAATGTATTTAATAACTGAAAAATTACTGTTAAAATAATGCTATGGACAGAAGATTGCTTTTCTTACCTGATTTGATTTTATTACTGTGTTGTAGGTATGTGACTGGTGTAAGCACATAAGACACACAAAAGAGTATCTGGATTTTGGGGACGGGGAAAGAAGGCTTCAGTTCTGCAGTGCAAAATGTCTCAATCAGTACAAAATGGACATTTTCTACAAAGAGACACAGGCCAATCTTCCAGCTGGACTGTGCAGCACATTACATCCTCCAGTCGAAAATAAAGCAGAAGGCACTGGGGTGCAGCTGCTGACTCCAGATTCTTGGAATATACCACTAGCAGATGCTCGGAGAAAAGCCCCATCCCCAGTGTCTGCAGCTGGCCAAATTCAAGGTCCTGGACCATCAGCGTCTACCACTGCCTCTCCGTCTGACACTGCCAACTGCTCTGTCACTAAAATCCCCACACCAGTTCCCAAACCTATTCCCATCAGTGAGAATCCAAATATTCCACCAGTTTCTGTCCAGCCACCTGCCAGCATTGTGCCTCCAATTGGTGTCCCACCTCGCAGTCCTCCGATGGTGATGACAAACCGCGGGCCAGTTCCTCTGCCCATATTCATGGAACAGCAAATTATGCAGCAAATCCGTCCACCGTTTATTCGTGGGCCACCTCACCATGCCTCAAATCCTAACAGCCCCCTGTCAAATCCAATGATTCCTGGAATTGGTCCCCCACCAGGTGGTCCCAGAAATATGGGTCCCACTTCTAGCCCCATGCACAGGCCAATGCTCTCCCCCCATATCCATCCTCCCACAACACCTACCATGCCTGGGAATCCTCCTGGCCTGTTGCCGCCTCCCCCTCCTGGAGCTCCTTTGCCCAGTCTTCCCTTTCCCCCTGTCAGCATGATGCCAAATGGTCCTATGCCTATGCCACAGATGATGAACTTTGGATTGCCATCCCTTGCCCCGCTGGTGCCACCCCCAACTCTACTCGTGCCATATCCTGTCATTGTCCCTTTGCCCGTTCCCATCCCCATTCCCATCCCCATCCCTCACATCAATGACTCCAAACCCCCCAATGGCTTCTCCAGCAATGGTGAAAGCTTCATTCCGAGTACCTCCAGCGAGACGCCTGGGGCAAAGCCAACCAATAGCTCTTCATCTCCTCGAGAGTCAAAGCAAGGATCGTCTAAATCCTCTGACTCATCGCCGAGCTGCTCAGGCCAGTCCCTTAATCAAGCTCAAGTGCTTCAGGAGCACAGTAAAAATGAAGTTGTTGACTTGACTGTCAGACCTAGTAGTCCAGTGAACAGTAAGTTTGGTTTCCCCAGTGTGCTACAGGGTCCACAGGACGGTGTGATAGACCTAACAGTAGGCCACCGGTCTAGGCTGCACAATGTTATCCACAGGGCTTTACACGCCCAAGTGAAAGTTGAACGTGAACCTAACAGTGTTGTAAATTTGGCTTTTGGTAGCTCAGACAAAAGGAACTGCAGTGACTGCAGGGACAACTGCAGCCCAGTTGACTCAAAAACATTACCGTGCAGTGACGGAGCTCACTGCTGTCCCGTCTCCTTGGCCTCTGGCACGCCAGGACTGGAAGCTGGTGCAGCGGTGTGCAACGTCATTGTGAATGGCACAAAGAGCACAGAGGGTTCCAAGAACCTGGAGCTGCCCCAGGAGCCAAAAAAACCCCAGCCCCCAGAGGAGCTGGTGGTGAGCGAGCTGGAGTCTGTTAAGGAGAACAACTGTGCATCAAACTGCCTCCTCGAGGGAGACGCTGGCAAGAAGACTGGGGAAGAGCCCCTTGCTGGGGGAGACAAACAGGACCCGAACCTTAACAATCCAGCAGATGAGGACCATGCATATGCTTTGCGGATGCTGCCCAAGACAGGTTGTGTGATCCAGCCTGTGCCAAAACCAGCAGAAAAGACTGCTATTGCACCGTGCATTATCTCAACGCCAATACTCAGCACAGGGCCAGAGGATCTGGAGCCACCATTGAAAAGGAGGTGTCTCCGAATTCGAAATCAGAATAAGTAAAGGTTTGTGTGATCACTACTGCCTTCTGTGTGAATAGAATTGAGTATTTTCAGGTATGAGGTCAAACCCGTGTGGGTGCGGCTGTTATGAAACAAAAAGATACAAATTCCAATTTATCAGCACCATCAGAAAACTACTGGTTTTTGTGTCTTAATATTGTTCTTTGTGTTGTATTGCATCCGTACTTGTCAGTTCTCCATCCATCAGTAGCCTCATTACACTTTTGCTCACAGAACATTTCATGATGGTGCTGGCTGTGAAGTTATTGTGCTGTGTATGTCAAAGTGAGTGGTTTTCTGCCTAGAATATGGTTTAGGTCTGGGCCATTAATCTGCGTACTTATTCCAGCTGAGTTACACAGCAACTCAAGCCTTCATGATGATGATTGAAATTGCCCTGCAGCATAGCATAGAGCAGGACAATGCAGCTGCTTCCCGCTAGCTCAGATCCAATGGACTTAACAAATGGTCATCTCCAACCATCTTGCTTTGGTCTGCCGCCAGACTGCACCCTGGCTTTCTGCTGGGCTGTCCTCTCTGAATAGCAATCAACCCCCTCTCCCTGTGCTTGCCTTCCTCATATATTGGTGCTTAGGGGCTGCCTGCTGTTTGGGACCTGCCCGCTGTAGGTTATCACAGGAAAACCTCTGTCATGGGGCTTTACTCCCTTACCTAAGGTATCTGCCTTTCATGCAAGTCTCCTACCTTAGAAAAGCAGCTGAGGTTTCTGCCAATGCAGCTGGTGTGTGTGTGTGATTCCTGGTAGGGCTGCAAAGCAAGGTAGAGATATTTTAATATACATCTGATGCTTCAAAGCTGAGAACAAGAAACTGTTAAGGAAACGTCCCTGGCCGACCATCCAGGAGTCACGCTTGCAGTCACTCTCACACCACCTGTGATGGGATCGAAGTCTCTTGGCAGGTGCACATCCCACACTCACACAGTTAGACCAGGTTTCCTTACTGGCTTGACCCCACGTTTCCCATAACAGACCTCCAGATCCTTAAAATAATTTAATCATGGTGCAATTTCTAAATAACAATATAACAGGTCAAGCTGGGTGCTTTTGAGGAGGGACCCAGAACAAAGGAACCCCTGGGCTTTATACCTTTTACAGTCTAAATTATGTGGGAGAGTCTGGGGGTCATTGGCTCCTGCAGTGTCTCTGAGTGTCTAGTCCCTGGCTGGGCATCATGTCTTCGTAACACAAAGGGTCAGCAGTTCATGGCCTCTTGCCTGGGGCTTGGGCTCCTGACCTCCAGAGCTCACCCTGCAGCTTGTCCTGCAGCTGCACGCTGAGCTACCTGCACTGAGTGTATTCTTTATCCACATAATGTGATTGCATTTGTTTAGATTCACAAACACAGAGAGCTTCTTTCAGGAAAAGGGGAAATGGTGGGTGTTGCAAGAAATCTGTTCAGCACTAAAATACTGATGGCTTGCCGGATGTGGCTTGGTGACATGCCAGATTTCATTACAATCCATGAAATATTCTGCAGCCTCCAGTAAATCCCTGTCCCTGGTAGCACAAATAGTAACTGCAGTGGTGTTTGGCACCTATAGCCATAGACAGCAGCAGCATGCAGTGGAATCTGGGCCATTGCAGTGTCTCCCTGCTCCATCAGCGCTGACTACTTGCACCATGAAAATATATAGTCAGGACTCCCTTTTTACTTGTTAGCACCACATTCCTGGTTGCAGATGCTGGTTGCAGTGCCAGAAACATTACTTCCCTTGATCACAAACTATTTATTTACTTTCTTCGGTGAAACACAACCATTATTCTTTGCTGTCAGCATGTGCTGACACATTTAAATAATATGTTAGTAAGAACAGAGGACATAGTTATAGTTAACATCCTTGGACTCATAACCAACGTATACAATAACTCAGTAGTCAAATGAATATTTAAAATCATTACACATTCCTAGGTCCCCTACACCCATACCCTGAGGTATGGATGGACTAAATGTCCCTCAGCAGTGAGATCTTTATTGCAAACCTTAGTGTTACCTCTGGAGCTTGAAAGATTCTCTTCATAAGTGTACACATGCTTCTATCTAGGAGTAGTGATTTGATCTGGTGAGAAGGCCACTATTTGGCTGTATCCTTCTTTAGAATTTTAGGAGAGCCATGATTAACCCTTTCTTTCCCATCTTATTCAAGCTCCTCATAGCTGTTTCAAGCTAGTGCTAAGACACTTGCACATTTATGTGCTTATGCTGTAGTCAAAACAGGCTGATTCTTAGCATCTATTTCTGCTTGCCTGGACCATCCAGACTGCAGCAATGCCATTTTGACGAGGTCCCAGTCCCAGGAGGAGTTTAGTGTTATTCAGAGCCAGAGCTTAAAACCTCAGAGAGAGTTCTGGCTTCACCGAGTTACGTATTTTTGCCTGTTGACATGATTATACATGGCATCACCTCACAGATAGCATTTGACAGAGAAAGTGGGCAAACTGAACAAGCTACATTGGAAAGACAAGAATGATGCTTTATCAGTCAGTTACTGTCCTCAGTGCTTTGTATTCTCTAAATGTCAATAAGTGCCACTGTGGTTATCCTCAGGAAAAACCATTTTCCCATTCACCGAGAGTTTTACATATTCCTTTGTCTCAGTGTGAGGGTTGTCTTACAGAAGAGTTTTCAGGTTGCCAGGCAAGATTAATCTGACCCAATATAGACATCTGGAACAAAGACACAGCTGAGCTAATTGTCTAAACTCTCTTTAAAATCAACGTAGAGAAGCAGGCACTTCAAGAGACAGCTGAGCTCATCCTGAAGTCACCAACTAAGACAGCTCAGACAAATTGTGCCCTAGGAGTGCCTATTTCTCCCTGCTGCGAAGGAGACTTAGGGTGACTGGCACAGACATGGATGTCCCCATAGACACTGAAAGTTAAAAAGCCCAGCCTAGGCGTCTGCCATACCTCTGGGGTTTGTGCAATAGCATAGCATGGCCTGGTGATGACTATTAGTTAGTCTGTGTTTGTCCACTCCTTCCTCCAGTAAAAGGAAAGTAGCCTCTAAGCAGAAGAGATGTGTGACCAGGTCCTTACGTGCTTCGAGGGAAAGAAAATACTCTGTAGAAATAAACAGCATGGTAACCATCTCATTCCAGTGGGTACCACAGTGAAATGTGGGTCAGTTTTGAGCCTCTCAAGCACGCGCAAGTGATTTATGCAGTTCTGATGACTGATTTGAGGTGAGGACTCTGTGGTTTCATGCAGAGCCCTCCTTTCACTGTTGCTGGTCATAGCCAGTCTGGAGGAGCAAAGGGGCTGCTTAGATTTCCTTCCTCCCTGCCTGTTAAAACTGCACAGGGCTCAGACCTGTCTGTGTCTATACAGAGGGGGCAAGCAGGGGGAGGAGAACATTGATGCAGCCTCTTGAACTGAAGCCCTGACCTTTGCTGTGCCCATGGGTTAGTTCCTCCTGCCTAGGCCTAGGGAAGCACAGAGGTAAAACCCTGCTCCTTGGGCCGTCCAGATGCGGGGACGATCCCTCGAGAGACTCACAACCTCATAAAAATTCTGATAAAATACCTGGAGGGCAGAAACTGCACCAATAATTGTGTTGGCTCGGACCCTTGGAGGTTTGTATTCGTTGCACTGGCCACACCAACCTGGGAAAAAAAAAGTCCAGCAAATTGTCTTTTTCTCTCTTGCCTCTCACCTACCCTAACTGGAAAATCTGAACATATTGCCCTAATGTGCAACTTTTCCTGGATTTTTTTTCCCATCAAATTGTATGACAAGAAGGAAAATAGCCAAATATTTTTATGTTAGAATTCTGGACAGACAGATTGAATTCATATAATAGCAACATGGACTCTCTAAAAAGGAATCCATGCAAGCGTGACCTTTTTGGGCAAGCTGACAAACTCTGGATTATTTAATGTACCAATTACTTGATTATTGGAAGTGCTAATCAACAACATAATCCTTGATGTTAAAGTTTAGTCTCTCCATCAGGATGTGGACTGTCAAGCTGTTCTGGCTTGATGCAATTTGAAGAACTAGCAAAAGATGACTCGGTGCCAAAGTCCCACTATGATAAAGGAATGAAGCTAGGGAGAATATTCTGTTGAGTGTTATTTTTTCAAGTTTGAGCTACGTGAGTTTATAAAACTGATCCTGGCGGGATCAGTTTTAACCCTCCAGCTTTGATGTTGAGCAAATAAAGTAAAACACTGATATCTGCTTGTATTTGACATGATAGTTGTGATAAACTGAATTAGAAAATTAAGTGGCACATGCTAAACTCACAACTAGCTTCTATGTATGTGTATGCATGTTGCCTAATTCTGCTTTGGGGACAGAGGGGTAAGAAAAGGAAGGAGTTTTTCCGATTGTGTCGGCAGAACTTCTTCCAGAAGTAATGGAAATAGTAGCCACCTACAGAGCCAACCTGTATGTCCTGGGGTCAGCATCTGCCAAGTTATAGGCCAAACCTTCCTCTGTCTAGTCCATGCATTGTAGTCGTAAAATATACAGCACACAGAACCACTCCAGTTCAGAGCAGAGGTAATCTATAACCCACTGTGAGCTCCTCTGCCCATAATGGTCCAGCACAAGATTTCCTGCTCTGGTCAGGATCCCTGAGACAAGGGGCGTAGCTATTAACCTCCTTTTCTGCCCTAAGAGACTTTATCTCTCCCCTGTCACTGTATCCATCTAGCCACATCTTACCCTACCCTGCTTGCTATGAGCAGGACAGAATTTGACCTTAAAGGTATACTTGAAAACAGATTTTGCGTATTTAAACACATTTCCATGCTGGTCATCTTTATTGACACAGTATTATGGGCCAGAGCTTCAGCTAATTTTAACGGAATATGGTTCCACTGCTGCTAAACTAATCTAAATCAACAGAGTAATTGGACTCACACACATAACACCTACTCTTCTGCTTCAGAAGTTTTCCTTCACCTGGCATCTTATTAGCCTACAGAAATTTTCCATTTATCCCAAGGGGGAGAGGAGAGACTGCTAATACCACAAA